GCTCTTCTGGCCTGGGTCCGACTGTACGCCACCGCGTGAGGCCGCCACGCCATCTCGCGCAGGACCCGTTTTTCTTTTGTTTCGTCGCAGACCTCGTCGGCGGCGCGCAGGAGGGGGCAGGCTTGGAGGGAGCGGAAGCCTTTTTTCTGCCGTCCAGGATGCCCTCGCTCGGGGACCAACAAGCAATGACGTGCACACCACGGATTCCGCACGGATTCCTCGGATCCGCGCCCGACGATTAAATTTCGACGACGACGACGACGACGGCGACGGCGACGGCGAAGGCGACGGCGGCGACGACGACGACGACGACGGCGACGGCGACGACGGCGACGGCGAAGGCGAAGGCGAAGGCCCGCACGGATTCCTCGGATCGACGCTGGGGCCCCCCTGGCAGCGCCTCCGACGCCGCCTCGGGCGCGCGCTCCGCGCGCCAGGGGTGTGGGGTCCAGCGCCGGTCCGAGGAATCCGCGCGGACCTCCGAGCTTTGCTTCTTCTATTCTCTGTGAGCAAGCTCCTGCTGTCTCCGCAGCTTCTCAGCCCAAGTGCCCCCCCGTCGGCCGCGCGTGCGGACGCCTTATGCAGGCGCTCGCACAAGCGGCTCTCGGAGGCGCTGGGGAGATCTTCTTCAGGGGGCTGCGGGCCGCGCTCTACGAGCGGCTCGTGTCTGCCCCTTTCTCTGTTCCTCAGGACCCAGGGCCTCCTGCGCCGGCCTGGTCCATCCAGCAGGCGGACTCGTCCGAAGGTGAGGGGGCTTTCTGCCCCCTCCCTTCGGCGGGTTCCGCCTGCCCCACCGTCTGCCTCGGGCTGGCGGTGGATCTGAGCGGCGGGGTTTCGCCCTGGCTGCTCAGCACGGTCGTCGCCCTCCTTGGGTTGACGGCCGCGTGCAGCGCCTGCGCAGGCTGCTGCATCGGGCTGCTGGGCCCGTACGCGTGGCGGAGGCTCAGGGCCTCCGCCTGGCCGCGCGGAGCGGTTCCTGCCCCCTTTGAGCAGGACCGCCGTGCGGCGCGAGCGCTGGCTTACGGGGTTCCGCCGCGGCCCTGAGCGCTCGCGCGGGCAGACGCCCAGCATTCAGGGAGCAGCTCCCTCGGCTGCGCCCATTGATGGCCGAGCTGCCACCAGTTGGCGGAGGGCCTCTATGGCCCGAGCTCTACCCATTCGCAGCTCCCACGGCTCGCGGCTACGCACGTTGGCGTTTAGACGACGGCGACACCAGCTGGGCAGCTATCCCCTTCGCGTCTCGAGAAGGGGGCATCCTCCTGGCCCTGCCTGGCGCCTTTCGCTCTACGGCGGAGCTCGAGGCTGCCGAGGCGGGGGGTTTTGCGGGGATGTTAGGCCCCTTCCAGCTAGTGGACGCCCAGCTCCAGGGGGCCGCTTCGCGGCCGCTCGCCACTACTGCCTCCGTCCTCGTCGTGGATATCGAGGTTGCAGAGCTCGAGCTCGAGTCGCTTTACCCTCTAGAGGTCGGCGAGGACGCGGCCATCGTCCCCTTCGCCGAGGTGCGGGGCCGCGTCTATTGGCCACACCCTTCAGGGGTTCGGGTGCTTCGCGAGGGTTACGCACGCTTGCACGGCGCCCCGCCTACCGCAGGGGAGGAGCCGCTCCCAGGGGCCGATCGGGCTACTCCCTATCACTCTGCCGACGAGATGGAAGAGCCCGAAGGGTTCGCGGCCGACGAGGACGCCGAACGCCCGGCCCCAAGTGCGCGATCTCCCGCGGACGCTGGAGCGCTTCGCGGCCCGCCCCCGAAGCGCACGGGCGCAGCCGCGCCGCCGCGGGTCGCGGGCCCCGCTTCGATCGCTCCTGGTGCCCCTGCGGCGGCTCTGGACGACGGGGCTCCTATGACCCGTGCCGAAGTAGCTGCCGAAATGCGCGCTTTGCTTGCAGCCCACGCAGCCTCCACGATGGTCGGCCGACCCGAATCGCTGGGCCCCGAGCCGCCTGCTCGGAGCGATCGGCCCGAGGTGCCTCAGCTCTTCAGCGACGAAGCGGTGCGCCTCGGGCTGGACCCTGCGGGGATCGAGGCCGTCCTGTCCCACGCGCCCGTGGCCCCGCAGCGGGTCTCCGCGCGTCCCAAGGGTCCGACCTCCGCGCTGGTCTCGGCGTGGGAAAAGGCGCGCTCTCTGGCTGTCCCTCGGGCCCCTTCGTCGGGCTTCGGAACGATGGGCCCTCCGCCGCCACCTGGGTTAGCCCATCCCGCTGCGGTCGACGGCTTTGCCGAGGCGGGCGGCGCCGACGGGTTAGAGCCGCCCCATACGGCCAATCCGACGGACTTCAGCCTCATGCTACAGTGCCTGCACCAGTCCCTCCTTCTGCAGCAGGGGCGGGGCCATCGTCCAACCGTCCATCCGCTGCTGGGGACCCTGAGCGACTCAGCTCAATCTCCGCCCGCGAGCTCGGGCGAGCCCGCGCCCGTATCGGCTCAGATGGGGGGCATTGCTCGGAGGCGCGAGTGGCAGCAAGCGCTGATACAGCACGGCCCCGACGTGCGAGGGCTGATGAAGGAGAATCTGGCTCGCGTCCTAGGCGTGGAAGTCAGCGCCGTGACCCCCATGGCCATGCATCAGTACTTTCGGGAGCACAGCCCGTTGGGGGCTCAGCCGACGACGCACGAGTTGCTGACGCATTTCGCCTTTCTCAGCGCCGAGCTGTGGCGGGCCTGCGAAGAGGGCAATCCCGAGAGAGTCCAGACTCTACTGACGTGTCAGTGCATGTTCATCGACCAACTGGCGGAGGACCGCGGCTATCTCGAAGCCGCCTGGTTCCTCACAGGACTGGAGCCTCCCCCGTGTCGCGTGACGAGTCTTCACACGGAGCGCGAGGCCCAGACCCCGTTT